GGAGCGCCGGGTGGCTAAAGCACAGCAAGTTGGTACAGTAGGGGGCGCAGGTGGTGCATCAGCCAGTCGTCTCGGTGCTTCTTACGCTTACAACTCAAGTCCATTGTTTACTATTGTTAAACACATTATTTGACAAACATAACAATAATAATGTTTGTGTGCAGATAAAAACTCAGCTTCATCGTTTACCATTATGAAACAAGTTCACAGATGTTACAATAATTATGTTTTTGTGAAGATAACAACTCAAGTTCATTGTTTACCATTATGAAACAAGTTGACATGTTACAATAATTATGTTTGTGTACACAAAACTCTTTTGGGATTTTTGGGTTGCTCAATTTCCCCTTTTTTGCTGCGCTTTTATAACGCTGCCACGATCTACTACCAGTCTGTGATTTCTGCTTATTTCTTCAATGCATTTCTATTGTTTCCATCGCTCACGTCACGCTATTTACTCATACGTAGCACTGCGATACTGAAAGCTGTGCCATCATCGGGGATTGCTGTGCCCGTCGATGTGTGTGTGTGAGTCCATGTGTGTGTCTTTGAGTCCATATGTGTGTGCGTGTAGAGCCATGCGTGTCTTTCACTCCATGTGGGTGCCTTTTCGAACGGACAACGCCCCATGTGTGTGTCTACGTCAAAGTGTTTATGTGTGTGTTAGTCAATGTGTGTGTCAGTCGATCTGTGTGCGTGTACGTCGATGTGTATGTCAGTCCATATGTGTGTGTTACTCCACATGTATGTGTAAGTCTATACATGTGTGTGTCACTCGATGTGTGTGTGTAAGTCAATGCGTCTGTGTGTGAGTCCATATGTGTGTTAATCCATGTCTGTGTATATAAAGTAGATATCTGTGTGTCACAGTCCATGTGTATATGTGTGTGTAGGGCTATGTGTGTGTCAGTCTATGTATGTGTAAGTTCATGTGTGTGTGTCTTAGTCCATATGTGTGTGTAAGTCTATACATGTGTGTGTCACTCGATGTGTGTGTGTAAGTCAATGCGTCTGTGTGTGAGTCCATATGTGTGTGTAAGTACATATGTGTGTTTACATCAATGTGTGTTTGAGTCCACGTATTGCTGTGTGCGAGTCGGTGTGTGTGTGTCAGTCGCTGTATGTGTGTACGTTCATATATGTGTGTGCAACTCTATGTGTGTATATCTCAAGTGGATGTCTGTGTGTGACAGTCCATATGTGTGTGTGTGTAAGTCGATGTGTTTGTGTGTGTGAGTCCATATGTGTGTGTGTGTGTCTGAGTCCATGTGCATTTGTGTTAGTTGCTGTGTGTGTAGGCATCCATGTTAGTCAGTGCAACTCCATTTCTTTGCGTGTCTGTAGGTCCATGTGTGCATCTTAGTCCATGCGTGTGCTTTATTGACCTGCTCAAGGCCTATGATACCATCAGTAGGCCTGGCCTCTGGGTTGCTCTTCGTGCTTTCCGAGTCCCGAACCCACTCATCACCATCCTTAAGGACCTTCATGATGGTGAGCGGCCCCGCGTCTTAACTACGTGGCCGTGAGTCAGAGCCATTCCCTTTACACCTTGGGGTGCAAGAGGGATGTCCTCTGGCTCACACATTATTTTACATATATTTGGACCACGTAGTTCGTGAAGCCATCAATACCTGTACCGCTAGAATTTCCATCTGGTACAGATACAATGGGAGGCTGAAGGATGCCCCCCTATTGCACAACCACGTTATGTATGCCGATGATCTGCTAATTGCTGCTCACTCTGAGGAGGAGTTCGAGGTGCTGCTGCTGAACCTGGAGCTTACCACTAAGAGGTGGGGCCTTACCATCAGCCCCACCAAAACTAAGCACCTGCCTGGGTATTTTCTACCATCGGACACTCCACCCCCACAACTTCCAATTGGTGATGGGGCAGTTGTGGAGACAGTGGAGAGTTTCCCAAACCTTGCCAGTGTGCTTAATGACCGGCTCCGGTTTAACAGCAGAGGTCTCACTCCGAAACAGTCGAGCCACAACCGCGTAACACTGTGTGGAAGCTACCTGGTCTATCACTCCGCACGAAGCTTCAGGTCTTCTCGGCCACGGTCATTCCCTCCCTTCTCTACGCTTGCGCACCCCTAATGGAACATCTTCGCCGGTTAGAAACATTTAGGCTGGCCTACCTACAATCCAGCCTGGATTTAACCAGGCTGCATTGTGTGAGGAGCTCACAAATCCTCTAAAGATTTGGACAAAGTCCCATCGGTGAGCTCCTTCGCCAGGCAAGGCTGCGTTGCCTGAGCCATGTAGCCCGCATGGCCAAACACCGCATGCCTAAGCATCTTTTGTTTGGCCGGATCCAGGGGGCTAAACGGCCCGGCATGGGCTACAGAAGACATGGAGTGATGTGGTACAGGAGAACGTGGAGCTGAGTCGACTTGCCGATGACTGGAACCAGCCGTGCCAAGATCGGCCTCTGTGGAGGAGCCTCCTGAAGGACGCTACTGGGCAGTTGGAGGCAGTCGCCCTCCAACAACAACGGAGGGCGGAGGAGCGACGCTCACAACAACGAGCAGAGCGCCGGGTGGCTAAAGCATAGCAAGTTGGCACAGTAGGGGGCACAGGTGGTGCATGAGCCAGTCATTTCGGTCATCTCGGTCAGTCGACCCGTGGCACCCGCTGGGTCTGCCCCGTGACCTCCAGCCAGCGGCCGTTCGACACTTCACGTGGCCTCAAGGTGCACTTGGCCTGGCACAAGCGTCGTGGTGACGTCACTGCCACTTAGTGGCGAATGGCGGTTGTTGTTGTTGTAACTCTATGTCTGTGTGTCAGTAGATTTGTGTGTGTAACTACATGTGTGTGTCTGCCTTTTTCGCCCGGGCAACGCCGGGTACTCACCGCTAGTCTTTAATCAATGCAACATCATTTCAAAGGACCCCACCATCGTGTGCTGGTGTCATTTTGTCCCAATTCGAATACAACGTGTGACTTACGGCTTTCCACACCTTACGCCACGCTCCCACTCCCCATAAGGAGGCACTCCCTGTTGTTTGTCATTCCCCTGCCACGAGAAAAGTTTTGCAAAAACAACCTCTTTCCTTCATTGACGTTGCCAGACGGTAACGCTGCGGTGGATGTGAGCAATGTCCTGGAGGGAATCGATATAATCAATCGCCGTGTCGTTACCACCCGTCACTCCCTCCCTGCCCGCGCCTCCGATTTGCATGCTTGGGGCTGTGTACGGCGCGAAAGAGGTTCAACATGACGCACGTGCACACACGTGGGTAGAGATTGCATCAGTCGTCACTATGAATAACACTGTGTAACGCACTTATAATGTTTTGTTCCTGGGTAGTGTTATTTCCTCATTGCTTATGCATCAAAAGTATAGAACATGGACATTATTCAATCTTGATTTGAAGCTTTCGTGACTTTGGTTGTTCCGGTAAAGTCAACCACAGCAAGGGGAGACAAACTACTGAAGTTGTTTCTTGCCGTGTTTGTCCCACCTGATGACGGTTGCTTGTGTTGCGATCGAAACGTCGTGATCTATTATTTTTTCTACCCACGTGACTTTACCGAAAGAACCAAAGAGTGCGGATATTATTCCCCACACACTTTGCTTTTGTGACCTGGACAGCGACATTTTGATATGTACATATTGTCAATGAGAACACGTGGTGCGCATTTGTGTAATTCCTTCACGTAAAGTCCTGGTCACAAAAGCAACGTTTGTGCGGAATAATAGCCATTTCTATACTTTTGAGGCGTAAGAAATTAGAAAATAACACTACCCAGGAACAAAAATCGTGTTACATAGAACAAATAAAACACCGCATTGTAGAACCGGTGGAAGTTTTAATTACGACTTTGTAATAACAACAATAACAACAAACAAAATGCCCATCGCGGTGGTGGTGGGGGTGGTGGTGGTGGTGTGGTGGTGGGGTGGTGGTGGGGGTGGTGGTGGTGGTGGGGTGGTGGTGGTGGTGGGGGTGGTGGTGGTGGTGGGGGTGGGGTGGTGGTGGTGGTGGGGTGGTGGTGGTGGTGGGGGTGGTGGTGGTGGTGGGGGGGTGTGGTAGGGGGGGGGGTGGTGGGGGGGGTGGTGGGGGTGGTGGGGTGGGTGTGGTGGGGGGGGAGTGGTGGGTGGGGGTGTGGTGGGGGGGGTGTGGTGGGGGGGGGAGTGGTGGGTGGGGGTGTGGTGGGGGGGTGTGGTGGGGGGGGAGTGGTGGGTGGGTGTGGTGGGGGGGGGAGTGGTGGGTGGGGGTGTGGTGGGGGGGTGTGGTGGGGGGGTGTGGGGGGGGGTGTGGTGGGGGGGGAGTGGTGGGTGGGGGTGTGGTGGAGGGGTGTGGTGGGGGTGTGTGGTGGGGGGGTGTGGTGGGGGGGGCATGTTGACAGAGGGGGGGGGCAGGAGGGGGAGGGGAGGGTGGGGGTGGAAGGGGGGAGAAGATCGTTAGTTGCAGAGTCAAATCTTCGTTGTCCAATCAGCAGTCTCCCCTCCCCCCACTAGCCAAAGAATCCCCAGACATTTAACAACTATGAGTTTACCCTCCATTAAAACTAAAATAAGACAAAAATTACACGCAAAGCAAGGTAATAACAGCAACACAGACAGCGACACAGAGACACACACACTGACAGTGACACACTGACAGTGACACACAGTAACACACAGAGACAGACACACACAGAGACACACAGGCACACAATGACACACACTGACACACAGTGACAAAGATAAAGATCCCCCGTATAGCCTTAACAGACTGTAGGGGCAAGTGCTGTTAGCGAGCACCTACGAAGGCCAGAACGGTACACAGTGACACACACAGTGACACACACAGTGACAACAACAACCGCCATTCTTTACTAAGTGTCGGTGACTTCATCCCGACGCTTGTGCCAGGACAGGTGGACATTGAGGCCCCGTGAGTGGGGGAACGTCCGATGGCAGGAGGTCACGGTACAGGCCCAGCGGTTCCCGGCGGCGGCCATGGGTAGGCCCTGGGAGCCAGACCACCACCACGGAAGACAAACGGTGACGTTAACGACGATGACGTCATCGACATCGACAGCCAATGACGACGACGACGATGACGTAATCAGCGATGACGAACGGTAGCCACGGCGTCGACAAGATCAGTACGCGGTGGCCCATGGGGAGGCCCTCGGCGATCTTCACCTCCAGATGCAGCGGCTCGAACACCGGCCCCTCGTTCTTGTCTAGCACCGTTACCTACCGGGCGGGGGGGGGGGGGGGGCTGTTAGCGAGCGCCTGTTAAGGTGTCCAGGAGACACCTGTGACTTGAAACAAGTAAATATCGGGGTGTTTAGGTAATTCACTCTCATTGGCCGAGGAAATGATCAATAATAAATGGGTACGACTAAAGTTTTGCTGTCCGAGGTGGTATCAGTTTCTGTGCTGATGCGAGGACAAAGTCTGGGCCGCTGGCAGAACCGGCCCTAGACCTTTGGGGGCCCTAAGCAAAATTTGGTTGGAGGCCCCTTTGACGTATGATTTTTTTCACCCACTAGCTCACAGTGACTCTAGGGGGCCCTCTGCTGGCCACGGGCCCTTTGCAATTGCATGGGTCGCTTAGTGGCTGGGCCGGCTCTGGCCGCTGATGATGGGCACTCACGGTGACGGTCGCGGTGCTCGCCGGTCCGAGCTGCGCGCTCTCAAGCGACATGTCGTTCTCCGCGGCGACGACGAGCTTGTACACCGGCGATGTCTCAAAGTCCAGGGGCTGCGGCGTACACACACCACACTAACGTCACCCTCCTACCAATCAAACGCTGCTGCGTCGTCATCGCCAACGTCGTCACCACCGTCGTCACCGCCGTCACCCATCGACAACATCACCACGAACTTCGCCTTGCCACCTCCCATCACTATCATCATCGTCGTCGTCACGCGACCATCCCCACCATTGCCACGTCAACCTCGCTTCACCATCAGCCAACCCATTCACCATCACTACCCTGTCATCGCATCACCACCACCACGCCACCTCTCCCCCATCACCACCCAATCGACAACATTGCGACGCCACTCCCATCACCATTATCACCGCATCACCCTCCCCCGCCACCACGACCATTACCATCACTACCCCCATCATCGCCACCACTACTCCATAATCATCACCATCGCCACTACCCCATTACCACCCCACTATCACCACCACCACTACCCCATCATCATCACCATCACCTACGTTACCCCATCACCATGACCACCATATCATCACCACCACCACCACCACCACCACGACCTCATCATCACCACTGTCACTACCCGACCACCATCACCGCCCCCCTCCCCCCACCACCGCGCCCCTCACCTTGACGACGTAGAGCCTGCCGTCGTTGGTGCGGGGGTCGGTCTCCACGGCGAAGTTCTTGCCGGAGTCCCCGCCGCGCACGACGTAGCGGGTCCGCCACGCCGGCGTGTCGGGCTCGTCCGTGTCTGTCACCGTCAGCGTCGTCACCGTCACGTTCACTGCGTTCTCGCGCGCCGTGCCGCTCAACTGTGGCGGAGACGGTGACGGGGGGAGGTAGATCATTGTTCCGCCACCTCACAAATATACACTTCTTACCAGCTAAGGCCCCACACAGAGCTATTCGTGGTGGTGCGGTGAGTGTGGTGGTGCGGTGAGTGTGGTGGCGTGGTGAGTGTGGTTGTGCAGTGTGGTCGTGTGGTGGCGTGGTGAGTGTGGTGGTGCAGTGTGGTCGTGTGGTGGTGCGGTGAGTGTGGTGGCGTGGTGAGTGTGGTGGTGCGGTGAGTGTGGTGGTGCGGTGAGTGTGGTGGCGCGGTGAGTGTGGTGGCATGGTGAGTGTGGTGGCACGGTGAGTGTGGTGGTGCAGTGTGGTCGTGTGGTGGCGTGGTGCGTACGGTTTTGTCCGTAAACTCGGGGGGATTATCGTTGATGTCGGCGATGGTGACGATGGCGGTGGCTATGTCCGAGGCCTGCACCACCAGCACGTACTGCAGCGTCGTCTACATCGACGGGGCACACAGACAGCACTGATTACAGACAGACAACGGGGACAAACATTCCTCGTGCAGCCTCAACAGACCTTTGGGGCAAGTGCCGTTAAGCGAGCGGCCACTGTGGAAGCCCGGCACGCCACACGATGAGGTGGGTGGCCAGCATCACGCCCGGCCGCCTTTGTCTCCCTAGTGGGGATGTTTGCACACTGCAGCAAGTACTCATTTGAGGCTGAGTCAACTGTCACCAGTGTTGGATCGAACTCGGGTCCCCGGGTTCGTAGCGGAGTGCGCTCGCCGCGACACCGTCGCTTCCGAGACACACGAGAAGAAGAAGCCACTGGAGCTGAAAACTCGTTTCTTTAGATCCGCTTTTCGTGTTAAGCCTGTCGCCCTTCCCTCGCACCTCCGGTCAGCGCGGTCGTCTACGTACGGTGCGCGACAGATGCTCAACGTATGTATATACACACCGAAAACACAAATGTAACACTGTACACGCAACCCCAGAGATTAGCCACCACCCCCCGGACTGACATCGGCCAATCAGCGGCGGTTGCCGCGGGACAACAACCCACCTCGCTGTCCAGTCCGGCGGCGATGGTGCTGATGACGCCCGTGCGACATGCCGTTGGGCGATAAGGCGTCGTCCTCGTCACTCGCCGTGACCGTCATCACTGGCGTGCCTGCCGGGGGTGGGAGGGCGGGGAGGGAGGGAGGAGGGCAGGGAGGGCAGAGGTGAAGGGCAGGGAGGGAGGCGTGGACATGGTGACTCAAGAACAAACATTATATTCGTTCGCATCACAACCACCACCATTCTTGTTATTCTCAACATCGTCGTCGTTGTCAAGAACATCCACATCCATGTCCACGATCAACATCCACGATCAAAGATATTATAAATAATGTCATCACAATCATAATGATTTAAACCGCTTCACTTGTTAAATCATGAACATCATTGTTATCAATCGGCACCACCATCAACACCACCATCAACACCACCATCATCTCCTTTACCAATGTAATAAAGGTCGCTGAGACAACGCCTGGAATTCAGTATTCTTTATTAAGTTTCTTTCACAGTTCTCACTATGTTCGTTCCTCTGCTCTATGGCTCCTTCACGATGTTGGCAGACAGCGTGAGAGGGAGAGAGAGAGAGAGACTGCCGCAGCCCGCCACGTGGCAGGCTCCGGACGTCCGCACCAGCGTGGCGGCTTCCACCTTCGTTCCTCCAAGCAATGAGCACACTGCCCAGGTATGGGAAAACTCTCCACTCTCTCCACAACTGCCCTATCACCAATTGAGAGTTGTGGGGGTAGAGTGTCCGTTGTTACAAAATACCCAGGCAGGCGCTATCACCATCACACCCCCGTCACCACCGCGCCCGTCTGCACCTGGGAGGGAGCCCTCATCCACGTAGCCCTGGAAAATGGGCATCTCGAAGTGCGGCCTGTTGTCATTAAGGTCCTGCACGTTGATTTGGAGATGCACGTCATCCATCACGTGGCCGTTCTTATCCACCACGTGGCCGTTAATCTGCAGCGGACACGCAACACACACGCAACGCACACGCAACACACACGCAACGCACGTGTGGTTGTAGTCGCCGACGTTGGGATGTTTAGAGTTGGCCAAACATCCCTCCTCTCGAGCGGTAGTTGGTTCTCTGAGAGTCGCACCTGGACCACCGGTGGGCCGTGACGGGACTCCTGGAGGTCCGCTGGGCTGCGAAGCTGATTGCAGGTTGATCCGCAAACGTTGATGCCTTTTGTTTCGGACGTTAATATTTTACTCGTGATATTGAAAATTGTAAATAAAATTAGGAAAACCGCCCCGATTAAATTACCCGAACCCCGATATCTAAATTCTCCACGTAAAAAAACAAAACCGTTCTAGCTGCGTTAATGTTCTTTTCATGTTCCGGTAATATGAATATAATTGAGTAATATTGGTACTTAGAGAATTGAATGTTTTTGTCACCAGGGGCGGGAGGGGCTTGCACCCCGGAAATGTTGACATTGACCGAGTGGTCCGGGGGGGCAGGACATTTGAGAGAACTCCACAATCGAGGCCTGGACCTCGCTAGGCCAACACACGCGCGGGGTGTGGTGCTAGTGTGAGTGCCTCACTCGGAACTCTTTGATGAGCTCACGGTCCAGGGTCTTCGTAACAGAAAGCCATCCGCTCACAGGATCCACGATAAACACCCCCATGGGATCTTCGTCTGCCCCGGGCCCCGTGATGCGATAACTTGCATTTTCAAGTATGCTGGACTTGACCTGTGGGGGCGCACGCGCGAGAGAGCACACCCGGGGAATGCGCAGGTGGGGTCGGGGAGGCGGCAGGGGGCGGCGTTACATGATGTACGCTCGTACATCACGTGGATACACGTACGCAAAGGTACCCCGGATAGCCTTCAACAGACTGCTGGGGCAAGTGCAGTTTGCGCGCAGCAGCAAATATGAAGGCCGGCATGGCACACGAGGGGGTGTGATATGCAGTTACCAACACACCCGGCCACCTTGGTCTCCCCAGTGGAGACAGTTATACATCGCACCGGGTACTTATTTGAGATCAAGTTCAGATAACTGTCACTGGGTGTGAGCTGTAAGTGGAAATCAAACTCACGTCGCCAGGTTCAGAGCGCAGCGCGTGCTAACCAATTGGCCACCGCTCCCCCAACATATATACATGTGTACACACACACACACATCACATGCTGATGTATGGCATGCTAAATAGAACACCACAAACCCCAAAGACACATACACCACATACCACACACACACACACATTCACCCTTACACTCACCAACGCATGACATTCGCACACTGCCGAACAGGGGGTTGAACGTAGGCAGCACGGTACCCGAGTTGGGGGTCGAACCCAGGACACCTTCCTTGCCGCGAGGTGCGAGCGTGAGGGGAGGGGGCCTTTACCTGAACCAGCCGCTTGGGGAAGGGCCCGGGGTCATTCTCAGGGACGTCGAGAGCAAGCATTAGCCGGCGCTCCATCTGCAAATTGGGGGTGAGAGATGGACGATGCAAGGAGGTGTAAATGGATACAAGAGAGCGAGGCCGTAACTAGGCCTCGGCAAGGTAAGAGTTAAAAGGTAAAAACAACGAGCCTACCTTTACCCTACCTTTTACCTTACCACAATACCATCACTCTACCCTACCTTTTACCCTTTAGCAGGTAAGGTAAAAGGTAAAAAATGTATCCCGCAAAAACAAAGTTTTTCACTATAAATCCTTTATATGCGTGGCATCGGTTTTATTTTATTATTCATTTCTGTTTTTCTTGAGTAAGAGTTTCATTTTTATCACATTGGTATTTTAAATTAAATATGAATTTTTTGTTTCATAAAAAGTGGAAAATTTTGGAAAAAAAATTTCACGAAAATAAATTGTCACGCACAACGAGTCTGTGTGCAAAATGTCAGCTCGATTGGATCACGGAAAGTGGGTTAAAAACGACCGAAAGATTTGCACGGTCGTAAGCGCGCAAGCAGGCAAGCAAGTGAACTTAATATAAAGGATTTAAAAAGGGTAAATTACCTTCCCTTACCGATGCCTAGCCGTAGCCATGGCGTCAACATGGGGGGGGGGGGGGGCAAATCTTCTAGGGGGTTCTGGAGTCCCCCCCCCCCGGATGGACTTTTTCTTTATTTTTAAATCCTTTATATTAAGTTCACTTCACTTGCTTGCTTGCGCGCTTACAACCGTGCAAATCTTTCAGTCGTTTTTTAACCCACTTCCCGTGATCCAATCGAGCTGACATTTTCCACACAGACTCGTTGTGCGTGACCATTTATTTTCGTGAAATTTTTTTTCCATAACTTTACACTTTTTAGGATTTTTTTTTATATTTAATTACCAATTGCTTAATGGTGGCAGGCAATCATCTGACCCATAGGTGGCAGCCATCTCAAGCCAGAGGACGAGAGGACTCTCGCCGCCACGCATATAAAGGATTTATACTGAAAAACTTTGTGTTTACGGGTTAATTTTTTAACAATAATGTCTAATAGTGTATTGTATTACATTGCTCTGTTTTTCATTTTTTACATTTTCTTGTTTCATTGTATAGAACAGCAGAGATCAGGGATGAATCAAGTACAACCACAATCATATAAACAAAAATCTTTTTTTGATTTAAAGCTTTCGTGACTGCAGGGATTCATCTTCTTGGTTTACCGAAAGAACCAAGAAGAAAAATCTATTTTATAGCGATATATTGGGGGGGACATTTTGATCATCTTTGAGTATTGAGGGGGATGGTTGAGAAATGTGACGTCACATCAAAATGCTCAACTTTAAATAACTGTAGAGAACGCGTTCTACTTAATTAAATAGACTTTGTAATGTTTTCTCCTACAACATCAGAGTGCAACGCCACATTAAAAACGCACTACAATGACAATAGTTTAAAGCGATTTGAAGCATGTTTTTTTTTTTTGGGGGGGGGGGGGGGGCTGACGAACGAGCTTGAAAAGGGGATAAAAGGGATGAGGATGCGTTGGGGGTAAGAGACTCCGTTACCTGAGGCTCGCCGTCCTCTACTTTGACTGTGCACAGCGGCAGGGGGAGCAGCAGCACCATCCTAGTGAGGTATAGCCCCCTCATTTTGCAGACAGCAAAAAACATGATATCCACACCACCTACACGTCAGACACAGAGGAATGCATATACACAGTCACACGTGACTTACACGTCTATACTTATTCATACATTCATGATGTAGTGAAAAAGTTTCCCAAATTCATCACACGGGCTGTGTCACTGTGTCACTGTGTCTCTGTGTGTCTCTGTGTGTCACTGTGTGTCACTGTGTGTGTGTGTCACTCTGTGTCACTGTGTGTGTCACTGTGTGTCACTGTGTGTGTGTCACTGTGTGTGTGTGTCACTGTGTGTCACTGTGTGTGTCACTGTGTGTGTAACTGTGTGTCACTGTGTGTGTGTGTGTGTCACTGTGTGTGTGTGTGTGTCACTGTGTGTGTCACTGTGTGTCACTGTGTGTCTGTGTGTCTGTCACTGTGTCTCTGTGTGTGTCACTGTGTCTCTGTGTTTGTCTCTGTGTGTCACTGTGTGTGTCACTGTGTGTCACTGTGGGGGGGTGGGGGGAGCCCTCCCAGGAGGCCTCCGGCAGCAGCACCTGCAGGGTACGTGCACCTAGCCTGGCACAGCAGCAGTACAACCCGTGTCACCTGCAGGGTCTGTGCACCTAGCCTGGCACAGCAGCAGTACAACCCGTGTCACCTGCAGGGTACGTGCACCCAGCCTGGCACAGCAGCAGTACAACCCGTGTCACCTGCAGGGTCTGTGCACCTAGCCTGGCACAGCAGCAGTACAACCCGTGTCACCTGCAGGGTACGTGCACCTAGCCTGGCACAAGCGCTGCGGTGACGTCACCACCACTTAGTGGTTGTGGTAGTGATGGCTGGGGTGGTGATGATGTTGGTGATGGTGGTGATTATGGTGATGATGTTGATAATGATGGTGGTGGTGATGGTGGTGATGATGATGATGGTAGTGATGGTGATGGTGGTGATGATGGTGGTGGTGATGGTGATGATGGTGATGATGGTGGTGGTGGTGATAATGGTAGTGATGGTGGTGATGATGATGGTGATGATGACAATCTAGGGGAGGCGCAGGATCGGTTCAAACATGAGCCAGTGTTGTCCGTCGTGAGTGGGAATTCAACTCGGCGCAGCACGCTAATCGCTGCGCCACCGATCCACACACTGCCCCCCCCCTAGGTCGACTCAGCCTCAACCAACCGAGTACTCGGCGCGGCGTGTAAACATCGCCACGAGAGAGACACAGGAGGCCGCGCATGGTGCTGGCCACCCACCCCCTCGTGTGTCACAGTGCCGGCCTTCATAGGTGCTGCTACTCGCTAACAGCAGCACTTGCCCCAACAGTCTGTTAAGGCTACACGGGGGATCTTTGTATCGAGGAGTGTGTGTACCGTGGGGGAGATGCGTGTTAAGAGTGTGTGTCACTGCATGTGTATGTGTGTGTGTGTGCTGCATGTGGTGGGGGAGTGTATGGCGGGCGGTGGCGCAGTGGTTAGCGTGCTGCGCTACGAAACCGGCCACCCGAGTTTGATTCCAGCTCACAGCTAACACCAGTGAATCCGGTCCTGGGCCTCCCCTAGGTCGCCTCAGCCTCAAGTTAGTACCTGGTGGGGTGTATAAACATCGCCACTCGGGACACAAAGGTGACCTGGCGTGGTGCTGGTCACCCACTCGCTAATAGCACTTGCCCCAACAGTCCGTAGTGCCTATACGGGGTATCTTTGTCTCCCTTTGATGCTGCTAATCCTGCATAATGCACGGGCATAAGTAGTACTAATCACATACTTGCATTTCCCATAAATATACTAAATTACTCTTGATATGCATATTCTTTTGTCAAGGCGCCCTTTTCCCCCCTTCCAACCCAGCTTATATATATGCTCCAAGCACGTGTGCTGTTTCATTCAGACGCTGTCGCCTCGACAGACCTGGTTTTCACCTGAGGACGGCTGCTTGCGTTGTGGCCGAAACGTCGTGAGAATTGTTTTATTATGTTTTATTTTTATTATTTTATTACTTCCCTTCTACGTGACTTTACCGAAAGAACCAAGAAGATATCTTTGTCTTGTAGGGCGGTGGCGGGAGAGTGTGTGCACGGGGAGATGTGTGTGTGGGGTGTGTGTGTGTGTGCCAGAGTGCGTGTCGTTGTGCGTGCGTGTGTTGGAGGTCTGAGGCGTGTTTTGTGAATAGTGTGTGGCAGTGAGTGGGGTGTGTGAGTTGTAGCGAGAGTGTCTACTTGTGGGGAACTCGCGTGTCCGCCCGCTGGCAGGAGGTCACGGGGCAGACCCAGCAGGTGCCACGGGTCGATCTGACCGAGATGACCGAGATGACTGGCTGATGCACCACCTGTGCCCCCTACTGTACCAACTTGCTGTGCTTTGGCCACCCGGCGCTCCGCTCGTTGTTGTGAGCGTCGCTCCTCCGCCCTCCGTTGTTGTTGGAGGGCGACTGCCTCCAACTGCCCAGTAGCGTCCTTCACGAGCCTCCTCCAAAGAGGCTGATCTTGACACCGCTGGTACCAGTCATCGGCAAGTCCACTCAGCTCCACGTCCTCCTGTACCACATCACTCCATCTCTTCTCTAGCCCGTGCCGCGCCCGTTTAGCCCCCTCGATCCGGCCAAACAAAAGCTGTTCAGGCATGCGGTGGCTGGGCATGCGGGCTACATGACCCAGCCAACGCAGCCTTGCCTGCCAAGGAGCTCACCGATGGGACTTTGCCCAGATCTTTCGAGGATTTGTGAGCTCCTCACACAATCCCGCCTGGTTAAACCCAGGATGGATCGTAGGCAGGCCAGCCTAAATGTTTCTAACCGGTGAAGATGTTCCATTCGGGGGGTCCACGTATCGCAAGCGTAGAGAAGGGAGGGAATGACCGTGGGCAAGAAGACCACCATCACCATCATCACCGCCTCATATCCCTCCCTCTCTCCCCTCTCTCTCTCCTTCTACCACTCCCTCTCTCTCTCATGCACCTAGCCTGGTACAGCAGTCAACCCATGGCACCTGCAGGGTCTGTCCCGTGAACTCCAACACAACAACAACCAACACCACAACCACCACCACAACCACCACTAGAACAACTACCACAACCACAACAACCACCACAACCACAGCTGATTACCTCACGACTTGGCGCTGCCGACGGCACCACGTGACATCGCGCGACTTTCACTTCCTGCCAGGTGAGCGATGACGTCATCCGAGAGCCTGGGCCCCGCCCACAGACTCCGCCCACCTCACTCACTCACCCACCCCGCCCTCTCACCCACCCCGCTCTCTCACCCACCCCGCTCTCTCACCCACCCCGCTCTCTCACCCACCCCGCTCTCTCACCCACCCCGCTCTCTCACCCACCCCGCTCTCTCACCCACCCCGCCCTCTCACCCACCCCGCCCTCTCACCCACCCCGCCCTCTCACCCACCCCGCCCTCTCACCCACCCCGCCCTCTCACCCACCCCGCCCTCTCACCCACCCCGCCCTCTCACCCACCCCGCCCTCTCACCCACCAACTCACTCACTCACCCAAATAGGGAAGGAGCCACAAAAGGGGAGGAGCCACCCGCCCCAGCCTGCTTGTGATTGGTGGGTTGGGTAGAGGGAGGTGACTGGGGCTTGAGTGACAGGGGAGGGGGCCGCATTGGGACACAAAAGGAGAGGAGCCACCAGCTCCAGCCTACTTGTGATTGGTGGGTTGGGTAGAGGGAGGTGACTGGAGCTTGAGTGACAGGGGAGGGAGCCCCGCATCAAGACAAAAAAGGAGGAGCCACCTGCCCCAGCCTGCTTGTGATTGGTGGATTGGGTAGAGGGAGGTGACTGGGGCTTGAGTGACAGCGGAGGAGGCCCCGCATCGAGATACAAAAGGGGAGGAGCCACCCGCCCAGCCTGCTTGTGATTGGTGGGTTGGGGAGAGGGAGGTGACTGGAGATTGAGTGACAGCGGAGGGGGCCCCACATTGAGACACAAAAGGGGAGGAGCCACCCGCCCCAGCCTGCTTGTGATTGGTGGGTTGGGTAGAGGGAGGTGACTGGAGCTTGAGTGCCAGGGGGAGGAGCCATGGACAGTGGGGGAGGAGCCACACGCCCCAGCTTGCTTGTGATTGGTGGGTTGGGGAGAGGGAGGTGACTGGGGCTTGAGTGACAGGTGAAGAGCCCCGCATTGAGACACAAAAGGGGAGGAGCCAGAAGGATGCACGAGAAACTCTTGGTGGAGAGATGACGTCACTCAACTGCTTTGAGCCATCGCCATTTTAATATCAAACAGCGCACAGGGAGACCGGCAAGCGCTGTGGTAACAATGGACGCAGACGAAGACGGCTTCACCGACGCTTGCTTATGTTAGCCCATCAAACAAAGGGGGCGGCGGTGTCACGCGGCTCACCTTCTTACAGTAGCTTTAACGTAAGATTATTTTACGGTGTTATTTTTTTTAAATATGCCTTCGATAGTAATCACTGGTCAACACACTTTTTCTGGCATGAGGTATTGCAACGGGTTTAAGGTAATTTTGGGGTGCTGATTCCAAATCTGGCATCAGTTTTTGTCTATCACGTCAGGTTTTTGAGATATCAAATATTGCATTTCAATAAAAACTGCAGAAGAAAAATATTAAATAAATGTGGATATCTACATAAAATGATATTATAAACACACTATCCTAAAAATACAGCACCATATTTTAACAATAAAGCAGTCACTGACTCGCAACAACTTGCAATCATAAGTGACAGAGTTAATTTCGGGTGAAATCAATGAAAATGGGGTATGCCGATAGCATAAAATGAGATGTGATAGAGCAAATCTCAGATCAGATTTGGAATCAGCACCCTGAAATTAGTCTAGAACAGCTGCAAAAGCAGAGGTGTGGACTCGAGTCATGTGACTTGGACTCGAGTCAGACTCGAGTCATGAATATGATGACTTCAGACTCGACTTGGACTTGCATAACAATGACTTTGTCCCACCTCTGAGGTGTGGACTCGAGTCATGTGACTTGGACTCGAGTCAGACTCGAGTCATGAATTTGATGACTTCAGACTCGACTTGGACTTGCATAACAATGACTTTGTCCCACCTCTGAGGTGTGGACTCGAGTCATGTGACTTGGACTCGAGTCAGACTCGAGTCATGAATTTGATGACTTCAGACTCGACTTGGACTTGCATAACAATGACTTTGTCCCACCTCTGTGCAAAAGTCCAGGCCAGAAAAACATGTTTTTTGTTGTTGACCAGTGTATAATTTATTATAATTCAATGTTGCTTTGTATGGCATTTGCTTTTATCCTACTGTTGATTTAGTCTATTAACAATGGTTTTTTGTTGTATCTGTACGACACTTTAAATGTCATCCTTTGCACGAAATAGGGGCCGTCCATAAATGACGTCACGCACCTGGGGGGGGGGGGTCAGACGTTTATGGCGATGGGGGACGAGGGGGGGTTGAGAAATACGCAACTTTAAATAAATATAGACAACACGTTCTACTTAATTAAATAGACGTTTTAATAAATGTTTTCTCCTACAACATCAGAGTGCAGCACCCCATTAAATACGCACTACAATGCGATTTGAAGCATGTTTTATTTTTAAAATGGAAATATGTTTTTTTTGGGGGGGCAGAGCTTTGTGACATCATATTTGCGGGGGGGGGGGGTCTGACTCTTTGTGACGCCGTGTGACGAGGGGGGGGGGTCAAAAATCGTCAAAAATCGCGTGACGTCATTTATGGACGGCCCCATAGCGCTAAATAAATAAATACTTGGTTTAACACATAGCAGGCTTTCGCGACCAATATTCATAATCAACGTTTTTGGGTTTAGATCGCGTTATTCATAAATGTGTCGTAACCCTCCACCACCCGACACGGCCAATCAGCAAAAAAGTGTCACGTTGACAAAAGACAAATAGTTCACTGCTTTAGCCCACCGGTGTGTTGAAGCGTGAAACCACAACATTTACAGTTGTTGAGTAGTACGACGTTTCGCTGGTAATTGCATCCAGCATCATCGGGCAATTCGCCAGAATGGTGAGGCTCTGCTCTGGCTCCCGGTTTTATATAGAGCCGCAGCAGGGTGACGTCCTCATCAACTCAAAATAAATACTTTATTGATTGAGTCGATTCCAATGAAGCGACGTTTTCAAGATGTCTCCCCGATCAACTCCGATACACAATGATGCTGTTGCATGCCCATTGTCTTTGGAACTGATTGGCCCACACCAGAGACCACTGCCTTCTTCAGGGTCTCGTCTCACCAACGCACCTTGCAAAAGTTAGCATCGATTTGGTGTTCGAACACCCTAACACACACTCCTGTATTACCGCCAGAAAGGGCATCAACTTATTCTTATTGTTCATACTTTGATACTGGCAAAGAAGGTATCACCCCGGCCTAGTAATGCTCTCGATACGCGTGGCATTACCCTGGTCCTGGTCTCTGGTACGACACTGCTGGCGAGACTTTGCCGTACAGAAGGCTCTGGTGTATCTGGTGTATCTGGTGTAGGTCAATCCGTTTGAAAGACAATTGCTTAAACTCTTTGGTTCTTTCGCCAGATGACGCCCACTTGTGTTGCGATCGAAACGTCTTGATTTGTTTCATTTTATTTTATCTCCAACTAAGTGACTTTACCGAACGAACCAAAGAGTGTGGATTCCTGCAGTCACAAAAGCTTCAAAACAATGCGTATAACACAACAATTATGATTATTATAATAATTATCAAAGCGATGTTTGTTTCCATGTTCACCACCCGCACTGTGCGTGGTTAATGCATTACTTGATGACGCCTTGAAAAAAGTATACAAATGCACTACACACTACTACTTTACACTACACGACTATACACATACACTATACACTAATACTTTACACTACACGATACACTACACAATACTACTTTACACTACACTACTTTACACTACAGACTACTTTACACTATACTATAGACTACTCACTACTACTTTACACTACACGATATACTACGCTACTATACACTGCACCACGGGTACTGTGTGTGGTTAATGCACAATTGACGACGCCTTGCGATAGGTATCTCTTTGGTGTTCTAACATCTTAACACCACTCCCGGCTTTATGGCCATTAAGGGTACAAAACCCGAATATTTTCTTTAAAATTCATTTTCAGGTTAAGCTCTTGCTCGTTTTTTTAAGCGTATTCAAAGCTACGATCGATTCCACTAAATTACATTTAACATTTAAATGTTCTACCAGCTAAAGGCCCGGCCGAGCTGGGTAGCTCATTTTCAGAACCCATGACATCGTGTTTACCAGGCGAGGTAGTTAACATCTCCTAGCCACGGTGGCGTTATGATCTGGGATAGAACCCACGACCTCCTGTATACAAGGCAAGGTAGTTAACATCTCCTAGCTACCATGGGCATTAGGATCCGGGATCGAAGCCGCGACCTCCTGCACACCAGGCGAGGTAGTTAATATCTCCTAGCTGCCATATGGCACTAGAGTCCGGGACGGAACCCACGACTACCTGTATACCAGGCGAGGTAGTTAACATCTCCTAGCTACCGTGACGTTAGGATCTGGGATCGAACCCACGACCTCCTGTATACCAGGCGAGGTAGTTAACATCTCCTAGCCACTGTGGCGTTTGTGTCCGGGATCGAACCCACGACCTCCTGTATACTAGGCAAGGTAGTTAACATCCCCTTTAGCCAGCGTGGCACCGTTGAGTCTTGGCCTTAACCAGATAACCCAGAGTGAAAATATTGAACAGGAATTCAGAGGCACAGATTGACACCGTTAAAGTCCCGAGAGAGTTCATCTGTTTCACATTACAAGGCAATGACTTAACTCTGACGTGACAAATTATTTGGGTATTTCGGTAAAGTCACATAGATAGGTTCAAAGGTAATTTTAAAATAAATAAATAAACCACGACGTTTCGATCACAATACAAGCGATCTTCTTCAGGTGGGATAAACTCCTTTAAAAAAAAATTTTAAACCGTTTTATTTCGATTTAAAGCTTTCGTGACTGCAGGGATTCATCTTCTTGGTTCTTTCGGTAAAGTCACGTAGAAGGGAAGTAATAAAATAATAAAAATAAAATACAATTCTCACGACGTTTCGGCCACAACGCAAGCAGCCGTCCTCAGGTGAAGAACAGGTCTGTCAGGAAGACTATAATTCAAACGCTGTCTTTCCGACAGACCTGTTCTTCACCTGAGGACGGCTGCTTGCGTTGTGGCCGAAACGTCGTGAGAATTATTTTATTATGTTTTATTTTTATTATTTTATTATTTCCCTTCTACGTGACTTTTTAAATTAAAGGAAAGTCGTATATAAGGATTATAAGATTTTCAGTTTTTGTATAATTGTTTATATTGTACATTTTTGTTGTTTTCTTGAATAATTTTCTGTGTTTAGGAAAAATATATGATTGTGTTAGTGAAATTTTTTTTTCATAAAAAGTGTAAAATTTTTGAATAAAATTTCACGAAAATAAATTGTCACGCACAACGAGTCTGTGTGCAAAATGTCAGGTCGATTGGATCACGGGAAGTGGGTTAAAAAACGACCGAAATATTTGCACGGTCGTAAGCGCGCAAGCAAGCAAGTGAACTTAATATAAAGGATTAAAAAAAAAAGTCCATCCGGGGGGGACTCCAGAACCCCCTCGAAGATTTCCCCCCCCCCCCAATGTTGATGCCATGGCTACGGCTAGGCCTCGGCAAGGGAAGGTAATTTACCCTTTTTACCGGGTAAAAGGGTAAAGGGTAAAGATGTCGACATGCCAAGCGTTAAGGTAAAGGGTTAAAGGGTAAAGGTAGTTCGGAAGAATTACCCGGTAGGGTAAAGGTAGCGCCAAGTATTACCCGGTAAATACGGTGCCTTGCTTACCACTAAAAGCTCCGTGGCGCAGTCCGTGGCCTACATTTAAAAAGTAATATTTAAAACAACTTTATTAAAAACACGCTTTTATGAAATATACGAGTAATGGCAGAACTCCACGACTCCAGGAAGTGGCCGCAATGCTTGGCACAACGTAAGGGGCCGTGGCCAATTACAGCCAACGTCAGTTGAGCATGGACAATTAGACCCAAGCCGAAACATAACATAGAAAAAATAATGTTTAAAAATATATATATGTTTAATGATAGAATATAGTATAGTCATCAGTATGACCCAAGTATACCAAGTTTGCAGTCGATACCACATTAGGAAGTGGGTAAAAATTGAGTTTCTAGATTTGAGGATACGACAACAACAGAGTGAGTTAAAAGAAAGCGTGTAAAATTGGAATAATCGAGAGTATTCTATATGAATGAAGCGCTCTACCTAGCATTTACCGTTATAAACCCTGTTGATGTGTAGTTCCCTATTAATTACCCTGTAATCGGGTCATTTGTATGGGGTAAGGGTAAAAGGTAGGGTAAAGGTAAGCTCGTTGCTTTTTACCTTTTACCTTACCTTCTAAAGGGTAAAAGGTAGGGTAGAGTGATTGTATTGTGGTAAGATAAAAGGTAGGGTAAAGGTAGGCTCGTTGTTTTTACCTTTTAACTCTTAGCTTGCCGAGGCCTAGCTACGGCCTCGCTCTCTTGTATCCATTTACACCTCCTTGCATCGTCCATCTCTCACCCTCACCCCCAATTTGCAGATGGAGCGATGGCTCATTATTGCAATCGGCGTCCTTGAGAATGACCCCGGGCCCTTCCCCAAGCAGCTGGTGCAGGTAAAGGCCTCCTCCCTCCCCTCTTCCCCCCCCTTCACCCCCTCTACCCCCATAACCCTCCCCCACCGGCGTTGGTGACGCTCGCACCTCGCGGCAAGGAAGGTGTCCTGGGTTCGACCCCCAACTTGGGTGCCGTGCTGCCTACGTTCAACCCCCTGTTCGGCAGTGTGTGAGTGTCATGCGTTGGTGAGTGTAAGGGTGAATGTGTGTGTGTGGTATGTGGTGTATGTGTCTTGGGGTTTGTGGTGTTGTATTTAGCATGCCATACATCAGCATGGGGGAACGGTGGCCAATTGGTTAGCACGCGCTGCGCTCGCAACCTGGCGACGTGAGTTTGATTTCCACTTACAGCTCACACCCAGTGACGGTTATCTGAACTTGGTCTCAAATAAGTACCCAGTGCGATGTATAATTGTCTCCACTGGGGAGACCAAGGCGGCCGGGTGTGTTGGTAACTGCATATCACACCCCCTCGTGCGCCATGCCGGCCTTCATATTTTCTGCTGCGCGCAAACTGCACTTGCCCCAGCAGTCTGTTGAAGGCTATCCGGGGTACCTTTGCGTACGTGTATCCACGTTATGTACGAGCGTACATCATGTAACGCCGTCCCCTGCCGCCTCCCCGACCCCACCTGCGCCTTCCCCGTGTGTGCTCTCTCGCGCGTGCGCCCCCACAGATCAAGTCCAAAAAATAAAACTAAAAAAATAAATAATATTAACTTTTATCTCATTTTTTTTATCCTTGCATTCAACAAAGCTTCAAATCTAGAACACATGAAAATGCACGTTATCGCATCGCGGGGCCCGGAGCAGACGAGGATCCCATGGGGGTGTTTATCGTGGATCCTGTGACCGGGTGGCTCTCTGTTACGAAGACCCTGGACCGTGAGCTCATCAAAGAGTTCCTAGTGAGGCACTCACACTAGCACCACACCCCGCGCGTGTGTTGGCCTAGCGAGGTCCAGGCCTCGATTGTGGAGTTCTCAAATGTCCTGCCCGCCGGACCACTCGGTCAACGTCAACAATTCCGGGATGCAAGCACCTCCCGCCCCTGGTGACAAAAACATTCAATTCTCTAAGTACCAATATTACTCAAATATATTTATATTACCGGAACATTAAAAGAACATTAACGCAGCTAGAACGGTTTTGTTTTTTTACGCGGAGAATTTAGATATCGGGGTTCGGGTAATTTAATCGGGGCGGTTTACCTCATTTTATTTACAATTTTCAATATCACGAGTAAAATCTTAACGTCCGAAACAAAAGGCGTAAACGTTTGCGGATCAACCTGCAATCAGCTTCTTAGCCCAGCGGACCTCCAGGAGTACCGGCACGGCCCGTCGGTGGTCCAGGTGCGACTCTCAGAGAACCAACCACCGCTCGAGAGGAGGGATGTTTGGCCAACTCTAAACATCCCAACGTCGGCGATTACAACCACTCGTGCGTTGCGTGTAACGCGCGTGTGCGTTGGGTGTGCGTTGCGTGTGTGTTGCGCGTGTGTTGCGTGTCTGCTGCAGGTCAACGGCCACGCGGTGGATAAGAACGGCCACGCGGTGGATAATGACGTGCATCTCCTAATCAACGTGCAGGACCTTAACGACAACAGGCCGCACTTCGAGATGCCCGTTATCCAGGGCTCCGTGGATGAGGGCTCCCTACCAGGTGCAGACGGACGCGGCGGTGACGGGGGTGTGATGGTGATAGCACCTGCCTGGGTATTTTGTAACAACAGACACTCCACCTCCACAACTCTCAATTGGTGCCATTTCCTGTACACCTAGGGATTTCGACAGAGATGTTCTCTGTCTCCCACATTATTAAACATCTATTTCGACCACGTAGTTCGTGAAGCCTTCAATAGCTGTACCTGAGGAATTTCCATCTAGATTACCATCATATACCCGAAGCCTGGGAGAAGCGTGGCAAAGCCTAGAGTGGGTCAGGGAAAGCCCATACTGCAGTGTGAACGCTTTTCTAACAGAACCCCTGTTCTTTAACGACCTCATCGGGGAGCTGAAACAAGAAAAGACGATGGCTTTCCGATTCACCAAAGCCAGCATAAAAACAGTCGGCGACTTGGTGGAAAGCCACAACGACCACCGAAAGTGGAAGAACGCGGCTGACATAAGCCACGCCGCAGGTCTCCGCACAATGCTGGCCGGGGAGAAAATACTGCGTGGAGTACTCAAAACAGCAAAAAACTTGCAACTACAGATACACACACCAGACGACACCGACTCGGCTCAGCCTCCCCTTCCTGCCTTCCCGGAGCTACATGCTGCCTGTTTCTAGGTCCCTGGGCGGAGTGACGCAGGCATGCTGCTTAAGCTTGAAGACTGCGGGAACGTGGCTCTCAATGGCGCCTCCAAGGTGGCGATATATAGCTGCTGCGTAAAGACTCTGCACCGTCAAGCCTTAAAAGACCTGCCGTGCACAAAGTGGAGGGACGTTTTTCCCCCGCTGATAGACGTCACCCCTCAGTGGGGAGAACTATACAAGGCCCCAGTGGCGAAACGGAGCGGAGACCTCCAATGGAGGCTGGCCCATTGGGCACTGCCTTCGGCGGCGTGGGTAAAGAAGATCAACCCAGGAGCGTCCGATTCGTGCGCTTTTTGCGGCCAAAGAGAAGATCTTGCCCACCAATATATAGGGTGCCAGAGGCTGACGCCACTTTTCAAGATGTTAGGATCAATCTTTCAGAAAGTTGGAAGTGCCTTTTTTCAAGAGCAGCCTCGTATGTGGAACACCACACAGAGCGAACAAGCGCCACAGCTTAGCGAACTTTGTTCTTGCCCAGGCAAAAAATGGCCATTTACAAAACGCACAAGAAAAAACTACAAAGCGACACAACCGCAGACGAAGGCTGCTCGGCGGTGGCCATGACGAGAGGTCTGCTGGTGGCGAGGCTCAAACTAGAGCATGAGTACTACGCCTAGGTGGGGGGCGAGTATGGCGTGTTCCAGGACAAGTGTGGGGACGGCCAAGCCCTCTGCTTCCGTGAACACGGCACCTTGACGCTCACGATCTGAACCCTTCGGCTGAGACAGACCACGGATACGGCGCGGAAACTAGACGCGCGCGGCCGGTTCGCCCATGTGGATGGTCGGTGGCGACGCGTGCTGCTGGCAACGACGATGTTGAGCATAACAAGAATGGTGGTGGTTGCGATGCGAACGAATATAATGTTTGTTCTTGAGAGTCACCATGTCCACGCCCCTCTCCCTGCCCTTCACCTCTGCCCTCCCCTGCCCTCCCTGCCCTCCTCCCTCCTCGCCCTCCCACCCCCGGCAGGCACGCCAGTGATGACGGTCACGGCAAGTGACGAGGACGACGCCTTATCGCCCAACGGCGTGAACCGCTACAAGATCGTGTCGCAGGTTCCCACGAAGTCCTTGGACCGCGTGCTTACCATCAACAACACCATGGGCGTCATCAGCACCATCGCCGCCGGGCTGGACCACGAGGTGGGTTGTTGTCCCGCGGCAACCACCGCTGATTGGCCGATGTCGGTCCGGGCGGTGGTGGCTAATGTCTGGCGTTGCGTGTACAGTGTTACATTTGTGTTTTCGGTGTGTATATACATACGTTGAGCGTCTGTCGCGCACCGTACGTAGACGATCGCGCTGACCGGAGGTGCGAGGGAAGGGCGACAGGCTTAACATGAAAAGCGGATCTAAAGAAACGAGTTTTCAGCTACAGTGGCTTCTTCTCGTGTGTCTCGGAAGCGACAGTGTCGCGGCGAGCGCGCTCCGCTACGAACCCGGGGACCCGAGTTCGATCCAACACTGGTGACAGTTGACTCAGCCTCAAATTAGTACCTGCTGCAGTGTGCAAACATCCCCACTAGGGAGACAAAGGCGGCCGGGCGTGATGCTGGCCACCCACCTCCTCGTGTGGCGTGCCGGCCTTCCACAGTGGCCGCTCGCTTAACGGCACTTGCCCCAAAGGTCTGTTGAGGCTGCACGATGAATGTTTGTCCCCGTTGTCTGTCTGTGATTGGTGCTGTCTGTGTGCCCCGTCGATGTAGACGACGCCGCAGTACGTGCTGGTGGTGCAGGCCTCAGACATGGAGGGCGACCCGGACATCGGCCTCACAAACACAGCCACCGCCATCGTCACCATCGCCGACATCAACGATAATCCCCCCGAGTTTACGGACATAACCGTACGCACCACGCCACCACACGACGTGTCTGTGGTGGGGTTGGAAGGGCGGCGGGGCCAGGTGTCCCCGCAGCCGTAATAGTCCCGCCCCGAGCAGAGTCCGCTGCCTCCTGCAGTGTCACGTCCAGTTTGTCTGTAGAAGGCACGACAGGCGCTCTTGCAGGGTCAACAGGCACAGGCAAGGGTGTGTCGGCAGCAACAGACACCGGCAAGGCAACATCAGGAGATGACGCATCCGTTCGAGGGGCCACGTATGGTTTCAAGCGAGACGTATGGACGTACCAGCGCCGAGCTCCGAACCGAACGCGCGCGGACTGCGGGTTAGGAACCTCAATGAGCCTAACAGGCCCCTGCCATGGTTTATGCAGTTTAGGGGAGGTTCCTGCTCGCACCTGCGGGCAATGCAGCAAAGCCATATTCCCCCACCTTCCAGGGGCACTTCCCCTTCGAGCGTCGAGCGCAACGTTCGTTTCGGGCCTGGGTTTTGGCAGTAGCCACTCGGGCCCCCTCCCGCGCCTCAGCGACGCGGCGAACGGCGTCCTGAATGTAGTCGGGGAGAGGCTTAGTAGGTCCTCTCACTCCCATTCCCAACTGCACATCCATTGGCGGCACGTTTTCGCGACCGTACATGAGAAAAAACGGAGAATATCCTGTGGACGCGTGAGGCGTCATCCGGTATGCCGAGAGTACCCCAGGGATGTGCAAATCCCAGTCAGCTTGCTTCTCATTAACTGTGTGACACAGCATGGCTGACAGCGTCCGATTTAGTCTTTCCACCATGCCATCCGTCTGCGGGTGGTAGGGGGATGTCCGGATCTGTTTGGTCCCCAGAGCAGCGCACACCTCCCCCAACAATTTATAAGAAAAATTCCGGCCCTGATCAGTGAGCAGCCTCTCCGGCGCCCCTTTGTCCATGACATATTCAAATAGAAAGGCGTCCGTAATGGACGCCGCCGACTGGTCGGGCAAGGGCCAGGCCATCGGCCAGCGGGAGAGATACTCCACCCCAACTAGCAAGTATTTATTACCCTTAGCGGATGGCGGGAAGGGTCCCAAAATATCCAACGCCACCAACTCGTTAACTCGAGACACCCGAATAGACTGTATCGGCGGCACATATGGGTGCTTAGGCGGCTTCCGCCGGGCACACTCGGGACACGCACGAACGTGCCCGACGACATCCGTCATCATGCCATGCCAGAAGTAGTCTCGCTGCAACGTCAACAAGGTTTTCTGCACCCCCAGGTGTAATAGCGTGTCGCAATGCAGAGTCCTAATCAATTCGTACCGTAACGACGACGGTACAACCAGACGCCAGCGATCATATAACCCCTCCCTCCACATCAGCAGTCCATCGCGGAGAGCGGCCCCCGGCGTCCCCCCGGAAACCAGTCCCCCCCCTCCCTTTGCAGCCCGACTCCGCAGGGTCCCCAACGAGTCATCAAGCATTTGTTCACGGATCCACACCGCTCGTGGAAGGTTCAGAACCCCATCGGCCGGTCCCGGGCACACTGGAGCCTCAGGCATCTCGACCGCTAACGCCATCCTCCTACCTTTCTTTCTTCCCACACTCTCCTCCAGCCCTTCCGGTTCCTGCCCTTAAAAGCACTCCCTCTCCCCACGTGACCCAACTCCTCCCACCTGTTACGTCATATCCGCGAGGCCATTTACGCTCGCATTACACTAGTGTGAGTGCCTCACCAGGTACTCTTTGACGAGCTCGCGGTCCAGGGTCTTGCTGACCGAAAGCCACCCGGTCACAGGATCCACGATGAAAACCCCGATGGGGTCCTGGTCGGCTCCGGGCCCCGCGATGCGATAACGCGCATTTTCATGTGTTCTAGATTTGAAGCTTTCGTGACTGCAAGGATTTAAAAAAATAAATGAAAAAAAGTTAATATTATTATTTTTAGTTTTTTTATTAATTTTTATTTCATTTTTTACCTACGTGACTTTACCGATAGAACTAAGAGTATTTTCATGCGTGTTCGACTTGATCTGTGGGGGCGCACGCGCGAGAGAGCACACACGGGGAAGGCGCAGGTGGGGTCGGGGAGGCGGCAGGGGACGGCGTTACATGATGTACGCTCGTACATCACGTGGATACACGTACGCAAAGGTACCCCGGATAGCCTTCAACAGACTGCTGGGGCAAGTGCAGTTTGCGCGCAGCAGAAAATATGAAGGCCGGCATGGCACACGAGGGGATGTGATATGCAGTTACCAACACACCCGGCCGCCTTGGTCTCCCCAGTGGAGACAGTTATACATCGCCCCGGGTACTTATTTGAGACCAAGTTCAGATAACTGTCACTGGGTGTGAGCTGTAAGTGGAAATCAAACTCACGTCGCCAGGTTCAGAGCGCAGTGCGTGCTAACCAATTGGCCACCGCTCCCCCAACATATATACATGTGTACACACACACACACAAACATCACATGCTGATGTATGGCATGCTAAATACAACACCACAAACCCCAAAGACACATACACCACATACCACACACACACACATTCACCCTTACACTCACCAACGCATGACACTCGCACACTGCCGAACAGGGGGTTGAACGTAGGCAGCACGGCACCCGAGTTGGGGGTCGAACCCAGGACACCTTCCTTGCCGCGAGGTGCGAGGGTCACCAACGTCGGTGGGGGAGGGTTATGGGGGTAGAGGGGGTGAGGGGGGGGAAGAGGGGAGGGAGGGGGCCTTTACCTGCACCAGCCGCTTGGGGAAGGGCCCGGGGTCATTCTCAGGGACGCCGATCGCAATAATGAGCCGGCGCTCCATCTGCAAATTGGGGGTGAGGGTGAGAGATGGACAATGCAAGGAGGTGTAAATGCGCTTACGACCGTGCAAATCTTTCGGTCGTTTTTTACCCCACTTCCCGTGATCCAATCGAGCTGACATTTTCCACACAGACTCGTTGTGGCGTGACAATTTATTTCCGTGAAATTTCTTTTCCCAAATTTTACACATTTTAGGACATTTTTTTTATATTTAATTACCAATTGCTTAATGGTGGCAGGCAATCATCTGACCCATAGGTGGCAGCCATCTCAAGCCAGAGGACGAGAGGACAAAAGAATATGCATATCAAGAGTAATTTTGTATATTTATGGGAAATGCAAGTATGTGATTAGTACTACTTATGCCCGTGCATTTTGCAGGATTAGCAGCATCAAAGTGTAATAAAGGACTCGACCACGAAGTCTGGCTTGGTGTCCTTTATTCGGTTCTTCCTCGTAACCCACACGGCTGTCCTTCTATAAGGCTTCCACACTGATACTGATACTGCTGTTAACCCCGTCACGCCAACAGCTCCTCTGTTGGTCTCCCGTTGTTCTCGTAACCTTCCAGCAGCCTCGCCGCTGTTACCCTCACGCAACCCCCCACTGGCTGCACTCGCTGCAGTCTCTCTTCTCGTCGCTCTCGTAGCCTCTCACACACAGCCTCGCCGGCTGTGTTCACCGCAGCTCCTCAACCGCCCTCTCTCCAGCAGCCCCACTGCTGTCTTCTCTCGCAGCTCCGCTGGCTGCTCCCTTAGCTGGCCGGCGCTGGCCGCCGGTGCCACTCTTCCTGGCTTCGCCCAACGTGGCCTTACTCTTGTCCAGTCTCTCACTCTCTCCCTTCTCCTTCCGGTCTCATCCCTTAAGAACCTTAACCTTGCTCCCACGTCACCTAACTCCACCTCTCCGTGACGTCACATCCGGGAGGTCGCCCGCGCCCGCATTACACCACCCTCCCCCGTGGAGAAAAACCCAGCCGACCTCGGCTGAACAACACCAACAGTAATGCGGGCGAAACCGACCCTGACACTCCAAAGGACACCAAGCATGCAATATAACAGTAAGAACCATCAACAGAGCATAATAATCAAGTAACGTACCAGAAGCAGGCAATAAATACACAGTAAGAGCAATAATGCAACGTAACAATCAACGAAACACAAGGGATTTAGAACGTGTGCGGGTCGCCGGCCCGTCCCGGACGGTCGGCGGCCCACCCGCGGAACGGGAACGTGATGGAGTTTGAGGAGTGACAGGGTGAAATCCCCCTGTCGCTGTTGGAAGTCCACCAACGTCCCGTGTCCCTGAAGGATCAGTCTCGGGCGTGTCCCGCGGATGTGTCTGCAGCGGGGTCGGAAGGGCTGCAGGGCTCGAAGTTCCCGCAGATCTGGCAGGCACCCTCCGAGCAGGGCGCCTCGTCCCCTGTGGTGTCAAGGCCGGCCTGCCTGGAACAGGTATAACAGGCGCTCTAGCAAGATCAATAGACGCAGGCGGGGGAGAGTCGGCAGCAACAGACCCCGGCAAGGCAACATTGGGAGATGACGCATCATGTAGGGGAGCAACATACGGTTTCAAGCGCGACGTGTGAACAACCCAACGGCGAGAACCAATCTGAACACGCGCCGACTGAGGGTTAGGAACCTCAATGAGGCGGACGGGCCCTTGCCAAGGTTTGTGAAATTTGGGAGAGGTACCCGGCCGCACCTGCGGGCAATGGAGCCAGGCCAGGTCCCCAACCTTCCAGGGGCATTCCCCCTTGGAACGCCGCGCATACCTCTCATTCCGGGCTTGAGCTTTGGCCGTAGCCACTCGGGCACTCTCCCGCGCCTCCGAGACCCGGCGAACAGTGTCCCGAATGTAGTCAGGGAGTGGTTTACAAGGTCCCCTTACACCGGTTCCCATCTGCACATCCATCGGCGGTACGTTTTCCCGACCATACATAAGGTAAAACGGCGAATAACCCGTAGCCGCATGAGGAGTCATCCTGTACGCCGAAAGCACCCCCGGGATGTGCAGGTCCCAATCCGATTGTTGCTCACTCACCGTATGGCACAGCATGGCAGACAATGTCTGGTTTAGCCGCTCAACCATACCATCCGTTTGCGGATGGTATGGGGATGTCCGGACCTTCTTAGTCCCTAGGCCCGCACACACTTCCGCCAATAATTTAGACGAGAAATTTCGGCCCTGGTCCGTGAGGAGTCTCTCCGGCGCACCCTTGTCCATAACGTATCCGAACAAAAAGGCGTCGGTAATGGCCGCGGCCGATTGGTCGGGCAACGGCCAGGCCATCGGCCAACGGGAGAGGTACTCAACCCCGACCAGCAAATATTTATTACCCCTCGCCGATGGTGGGAAAGGTCCCAAAATGTCCAGTGCCACCAATTCATTAACCCGAGACACCTGAATTGACTGTAAAGGCGGCACATAAGGATGTTTAGGTGGCTTACGTCGGGCACAGTCAGGGCACGCGCGGACGTGCCCCACGACATCCGTCGCCATGCCGTGCCAAAAATAATGACGTTGCAACGTCAACAAGGTCTTCTGCACACCCAGATGTAATAGCGTGTCACAATGGAGAGTTCTAATCAACTCGTATCGCAGGGACGCAGGCACTACCAGACGCCAGCGTTCCTGGAGACCTTCCCTCCACATGAGCAGACCATCTCGGACCGCGGTTTCCGGCGCACCCTCCGTAACCGGACCCCCAATCTCCACTTTGGATCGCTTCCGCAAGGACACTAACTGACTCATCCATCATCTGCTCCCTTATCCAAACAGACCGTGGCAGATTCAAAACCCCATCAGTCGGCCCCGGTTCCACAGGAGCATCCGACTCCTCAACAGCCAACACCACCGGCTGAGGGGGGGGTAGGCTGGGCGCACATCTCTGCGTCCCCGACGCACATTTGCAAGGGGAGCGCTGCGGCAATCTAGAAAGTGCGTCTGCGTTCGCATGGCGCACCCCTTTACGATGGTGAATTTGAAATGAAAATTCCTGTAGCGTGTCCAACCAACGCGCCAGCTGGCCGGAAGGTTGATCCATTTTAAGGGCATATTGCAAGGCCGCATGATCCGTACGTACGATAAAGGAATGGCCGTACAGGTACGGT